GTACCTCTAAAACACAAATAACCATGTAAACCAATGTTAACAATAAGAAGTCATGGTTCGTACTGGGAAAATTAGTATGGAAGGTTGAATTCACTCTCCCTGATTTCCCTTTGTGTGTGTGAGTGTGTGTGTGTGTATGTTTGTGTGAGGGTGTGGGGCACACAAGAGAGCACAGCCTCAGGTCTGTGCTGCCCGCTGGGCAACCTCTGGTAGTTCTCTAGACAGGAAATTTGCAGAGCTGCCTGGACTTCTCGCCCAGGTTTGTTTGGAGAGGAGTGTTAAGCAGCGCTTGAATGATTTGAATTTTTCATGAGAAAAACAAAGTGAATGATTTTTTTTTTTTTTGCTAGAAGACATTTTGTTTGGCTTATGGGGCAGGTTTGGTTTTTCTTTTACCTATTGTTTATAATCTTTTTTTTTACTATTTTTATTTTTATTTACTTTTAATATTTATTTATGCATATAAGAACTGGGGTGTAAGCCAGAGGTGTGTGGGTGAGAGGATTCACCAGGGAGAGTGGGGAGTAGAACAGGCAGATCTACTCAAATACACTGCTGAGGGGAGCAGCGGGTGAGGCAGGAGAGGTCTGCTGCACCATGTGGGTAGCTCCCTGGCTATCCTGGGATTGAACTCATGCTGCAGTGGCTGGCAATAGCTTCACAACATTGTCTTTAACCCCTGAGCCACCAGGAATGCCCTTCACTATTTCTAAAGACAGCAATCAGAAGGGGTTAATCCTTGGACCATTTTTTCCAGTGAAGGACACTGGGTGTGGCTATCAGAATGGAGGGTGGCCATAAGGAAACCATAAGGTAGAGGCATCAAAAATGCTGACTCTGTCCCTCAGGGATCTAAACTCTCTGTGCCCTGGATGCATCATCTATAGATGGAAACAATAATCTCATTAGCTGTTGTGGTATTTAACTGAGATCATTCTTGTAAAACATTAGAATAACCCCTGGTATATAGTAAGCAGCCCATGATTATTATTTTATGGTTATGCACGAATTCTTTTAGGTCACATTTCCATGCTATGGAAGATTCTAGTTTCTTTGATACTGATGTGGTCTTTGAAGCTTGAACAAATTTTCAAATGTGTCAGTATGTTTGACCATGACTTGGTTATTTGGATCAGAGAAGAAGGTCACTTTGTAAACTTATTCTTTTCATCAGAGCCCAGTTTGCTGCACTCTGTTGACTTCAAGCCTGAGTAGGCAGAGCACAAATGGCCCTCTCGCAGGCTGTGGTATAGCTGTAGTAGCTGTTCTGGTGTTGAGGGGCTAAAATATTGGAAACGGTCCTGGAGGATGATGCTTGGCAATTAACCACCTTTATTACTTACCAACTATTTGTATTCTGGGTCATATCAGCTGTTTATCCATCCATCCATCCGTCCGTCCGTCCGTCCGTCCATCCATCCATCCATCCATCCATCCATCTATCCGTCCATTTGTTTATTAAACTTACTTCATTTCTTAAAAATGCTTAGATATTTTAAAGTAAATTATAGATCTTCTTGTAGCATTGTTCACAGTAGCCAAGATATCGAAGCCACCTATGTATATATATGAACAGATGAGTGGATAAAGAAGATGTCATGTGTACACACACACACACACACACACACACAAAATGGAACATTACCGGGCCATGAGAAAAAAAATTCTGCCATTTGTGGCAACAGGGATAGACCTTGAAGGTGTTATGTTAAGAAATAAGTCAGCTAGAAAAAGATAAACACTGAGTGATACCCTATATGTGGAATTTTGAAAAGCCTTACTCTTAGAAACAAAGTAGAATGATGGTTACTAGGACTGGAGCACTGGGAAAACAGGGAGATGGAGGTGGAAGGGTACAAAGTTATAGTTAGCTGACTAGATCTAAATATTCTCATCACAAAGAAAAAATGATAATGATGTGACTTGACAGAGATGTTAGCTAACGCTAGAGTGGTAACCACATTGCAATATACAAATGTGGCAAATCAACATATTGTGCGACTTAAGCTTAGATGTTGTGTGTCAGTTATATTGCAATTGATAAAAAATACATTGATATTCCTTCCCTAGTAATATCTAGAATGAATACTGGCAGCATCCTTCCAAGGAAGGAAGCGATGAAAGAAGTTTCAATATATGATCAAAGTAAAATTTAATATTTTTTAATATGCTCTAAGAGTTCATATTCAGGTTTCTGCAGTTGTGGTCAGGTCATATACTGAATTTACTTTATTATTTGAGTTGATTCATAGGGGGATCTAGGAGGTAGAACTAACTAAATGATGCCAAGGGCTCACTTCAACATGAGTATAATGTTGAATATTTTTCAGAATTGCTTCTCTGATTTTCTTCATTTATCTCTTGCTCTTGGAGAAGGATTCCAAGTTTATAGAGATAAACTATGACTCTAACATGACGAAGTGGACGTTTGGAAATTCTTTGGTTCATGGAATCAATTAAGACAGGTCAGGAGTCCCTCAGACTGGGCTTAACTTACAGCTTTGGGCAGAATGATCATCCACATGGTGAATAAATTGTATACTTGCCAGAGAGAAAGGGCAGTGAGTTAGTTTTAGGTTGAACAGGTTTGGGGCTTGCGTTTCCTGCCCCCCTGAAATGTTCATAATGCCATTTAGATTGAGAACTTGGACAGTCGATTTGATTTCGTTTTGTTTTGTTATTTGAGACTCTGGTGTTTCATTCAGGAGACTAAATGCTGGGTCTCTCAGGTTTCCTGTCTAAGGAAGCTCCCATTGTTCTAGAATAAAGGAATGAAAAAGTCATGCTTTGACTGCTTAGTGGGTATCAGGTGCTGGAACCCCAGAGGTCACCAGTGATATTGGCACATTGTGCATCTGTTCACACAACACCTTTTTAAAGTGAAATTTTCATTGAAATATAATCTATACATTACACCTTTGGGGACCACATCTCACTTTTGACTTACATTGAACCTTGCTATCCCAAATCCCTGCAGTTTTAAGTAAGACCACTATTAATACATTTTATCATTGAGCCTTCCTCTTTTCTGAAATGTTAATTTTTATGCATCTAATTATCATGTAATCTTGTTAGAGCTACTACTCTAAACCAGTTAGTCAAGATCTTTTAGAATTCCAAGTATTTCTCCTGATTTAACTTCAGGTCAGCCACCAATAGGATGATCCTATCCTCTGTATCTCTGTCCAGGACTCCATGAGCTGTGGGTGCTGTTGGAAACCCACCCTCATTGGCTTATTCCTTTGGATGTTGCTTTGAAGTTGTTCACCATCCATCCAGCTATTCCTCTGCTGGCACATTCTTCATTTCCATCATAAGGCCATCATTTGGGAACTTGTCACCATGTCATACGCGCGTCAGTGCATTTCATCTCATGAAATTTAGATACCCATTCACACTTTAAAGGAATTTGATTGTTTTTTGTTTGGGGCTATTATGTACAAAGGATGAAAACATTCTTGTGCATGCCTTAGGTGGATGGAGTGAGAGTTATTGGTTAGGTTAACTAACTGTCCCTAAAATTGGAGTTTACATTCACTTGCACACACACATTGTCACATTGTCTATACCAAATGTTTTTTTAAATTTTTATTATTTTTAAAATATTTTTGTTTATATATTTTTTCATCATTGTTCCTTTTTAAACAATGTTTGCTTTCTACCCCTCCCCCCAAGTGTAGTCCCCATAGAATTTCCTTCACCACGGCACCCTTGCACCATCATCTCAGTCCCCTGTGCTCCTTCCTCCCTCCCTCTGATCCTGCTCCCTCCTCCTCCCCTGCAGGATGTCTCTGGTTTATAATTGTCTGCTTGTTTTTGTTTTGTTTTGTTGTGTTGTATTTTATATTTTTTAAAAGATTTATTTATGCATACAAGAGCTGAGGTGTAGCCCAGAGGTGGGGAGGTGGTAGTGAGAGGATTCACCAGAGACAGAATGGGAAACAGAACAGGCAGATTGACTGAAATACACTGCTGAGGGGAGCAGTGGGTGAGACAGGAGAGGTCTGCTGCGCCATGTAGGTCACCTCCCTAGCCGGGGATTGAACTCATGCTGCAGTAGCTGCGGATTGCTTCATAGTCTTAATGCTTAACCCCTTGCACCCCAGGGAGGCTCAGTGTTTTCTATTGTTATTATTTTTCCCCCATGTCTTATTTGATTTCCTTCTATTCCTCTTATCTATAAGTGAAACCATCAAATATTTTTCTTTTTCCTTCTGACTTGCTTCACTGAGCATAGTTCCTTCTAGCTTCATCCACTTTGCTGAGAATGGCATGAGTTTATCTTTTTGATTGCTGAATAGTATTCCATTATGTATATATATACCACATCTTCTTGATCCAGTCATCTATTTTTTGGGCATTTGGGCATGCCAAATGTTTTAATGTAAATTGAAGGTATTGTACAAACAAAGGAATGAATTTAGTCTGGTACACTTGTTTTTAGCAAATCCACATGAGTACAAAAGCAGATCACTGCTTCTGTGCACTTTCACTATTATAAATATTCTAAGCCAGAGGGCAGCTTCCTGATAGCAGAGATTCTTATGTGAAACTGTATTGTTTCCTTCTGCCTTCTCTAGAAAACATGGGAAAAGAATCTTTTTGTTAATTCTGCAAATAGTCTTTATTTTCTAATTTTAGATTCTCATTGTGGAAAAAAAGTCATGAATTACTAAAAGCTCTGAGAATATAAACTAGTTTTGGGGGTCCCCTGAATCAGAATGAATGAAGTTTTAAATATTTCATCTACACTTTTCTTTCCATATTATTTTGTATATTGCGATACATTTTTTTTTACTGATTTATAATCCGTGAATACTGTTAATAAAAATGTAATTTCAATTCTATTAACTAGAAGTGAAATTACTGGAGGGAAATTCTAGTAAGTTGCTGGAGGAAATCTGTTAACCTAGAAAGTTGATGCTTAGAAATAGAGGAGGAAACTGAACTCTAGTCACCATTGCGGGAATGCTACATTGATTTAAGTTTTAAAAGAGACTGTGTTTTCTGAAAGTAAAAATTAGGTTAGTACTCCCCTTGACATGAATAGAAAATGTTCTAGTCACCTATGCTACACACATACATTTAAGGTATCGTGGTCTCGTTATAGCATCCAATGATTTTTAAGAACCTACAGGAGGGGGATCTGACTGTGCACCAACAGTACAGATGGATTTGTCCTCTGACCCCACAGTCCTGTTTCTGGGAATCTTTCCCACCTGTACATGGTAATGCAATGACATTGATACAAGGTTGTTATTGAATTGAATGTTTGCATAACACCTAAACATTGAAAGCCACCAAATGTCCATTAGCCAATAAGGCAGAGGTTGGAGGGTGGTACATAGCTACAGGGGAATGCTACACAGTTGTCAAAAGAGAGCAGTGAAGTCCTACATTGTGACATGGGTTGATGTCCAGGTAGATTTTCAAAATGGAAAAAACAGTGCATAGAGTATACTGCCCTTTGTGTAAGAAAGGTAGGGATATGAAAATATGTAGGTGAATTTTCTTACATTTGCATCAGGAAACACTGGAAGGATAAATAAGAAACTAATAAAAATGCTTTCCTGTAGTGGGCAGAGGCGAATGGAGGAACTGGGACATGTGAGGATGACTGCTCTGCAGGCATCGTTTTTTGTTTTGCTCAATTTTTGAAAAATGCAGAAAACATTCAATTAACCAGCCAGCTAAAGTGAGCAAGCATGCCCTTGGACACTGATTGAGACCAAGGTTAGGTGGTGGAAAGTGAAGCTGGTTGAATACACCATGAAAGGGAGAAGCTGTTCACTGCATATCTTTTTTTGAAGCTAAGTCAGTGCTTTCAATCACTCAGTCAGCAAATACCTATTGAGCCAACCTGCCAATCCAATGTGCCAGGTACTATTTTAGGTGCTGGGGATACAGCTGTTGGTGGGAGCCGTGATATCCAGGCTTTCATGGAGTTGGCATTCCTGGAGGCACAACCAACCAACCATCAGGGGAGGGAAGTGAGAGGAGTCCACACTGAGGCCAGAGGGGAGGTGAATTGCTGAACTGTGTTCCTCTGTATCCGTGGTGTACACAGGACCAGAAAGTACCGTGAAATCTCACAATTAATCCTTTGCTACAGCAGTCAGGATTTCAGCTTACCTTAATGTCATTATCACCAAAGTTAAGTTTCAGTAAGTAAAAAACACACGGTAGCACTCACTGTACCTCCTCTACTGTGCTGACAAGAGACTGCAATTTAGTGGAATAAAAAGTTGCTTTAACCATTATGTTTGTTTTCACAACAGTGGGGCAATATGGGGTTGTTATGTATGTGATTTGTGTCTATAACCACAGGTTATTAAAGAGACAAGCTATTACTATGACAAGTCTATTATTTTTTTTTCCATTTAAGGAGTGACTACAGGGCCTCCCTGGTGGCGCAGTGGTTGAGCGCTGGGTTGTGAAGTTGCCCGCAGCCTCTGCAGCACTGGTTCGATCCCCTGCTGCTCCCCGGCCACCGGAGGAGGGTCCCACATGGCGCGCAGACCTCTCCTGCCGCCCGCTGCTCCCCTCAGCAGTGTACTTCGGTCCTTCTGCCTGCTCTGCTCCCCGCTCTGGCTCTGGTGAATTCTCTCACCCTCCCGCACTTCTGACTATACCCAGTGCTTGTATAAATAAATAAATAAAATAAAGTAAAATAAAATAAATCTTTAAAAAAAAAAGGAGTGACTACATATAAATTTTTCCTTTAGCATGACATATTTGTTACAGAAATTGTAACCCCACATACATGCCCACATACACACATGCCCCCCCACCACACACGTACACATATATCACACACCCACACACACTCGTATACCACACACACATGCACACACAAACCACACTCATGGAATTGGCATTCCTGGAGGCACAACCAACCAACCATCGGGGAGGGGAGTGAGAGGAGTCCACACTGAGGTCAGAGGGGAGGTGAATTGCTGAACTGTGTTCCTCTGTATCCGTGGTGCACACAGGACCACACAGCCCTCACATTCTGTTTATCTTCATGGTAATTATTGTCTAGAAATACCAGGGAGTTATTGCTATCATAGATAATATAGACATTTGAAACCTATTTCTCTTGCATTTATTTTCTTTTATTCTAGTCTTTTATTGGCCGATTTCTCTTTCATAGTTTCTAAATCAGATGAAAGAGTCATGTGATTTTTTTTAAAGATTTATTTATTTATGCATAGAAGAACTGGGATGTAGGCTAGAGGTGCGGGGGTTGAGGGGATTCACCAGAGACAGAGCGCGGAGCAGAACAGGCGGATCTACTGAAATACACTGCTGAGGGGAGTAGCAGGTGAGACAGGAGAGGTCTGCTGTGCCATGTGGGTCAGCTCCCTGGCCATAGTGGTGATAGCGCTGATATTTAACCCCTAGGCCACCAGGCAGACCCCCATATGATTATTTTTTAAAGTTTTTGTGATGAAATGATTTTTTAAAGAGAAATTTTTCTGTATCCTTGGGTTCGGTTACATTTTGGTGAATCTTGAAAACAGAGATCAAAGCCACAGGAAATGTCAATAGATTGCTTCTCTCTCCACCAAGGTCAGAGCCTAGGGCTTATTCAGATTTGAAGGATGATGACAGAGACTGGCAGCCAGACATGGGAGTCTGGGGTTTTCTGACAACCAAAGTCCAAAATATAGATCTATCTGGAGCTAGAATATTCACAACCATTCTTTTGTGATTTAGTCAAAAAGCAGATCAGATTTGTTTTTCAAAGAGTAAAAAATGCCTGCTGTTGTATACAGAGAAAGCAGATGGAGTAAATAAAAGACAAACTTTTGGACTATATGACCAGTTAGCAGTTACCAGAAGGGAAGGGGGAGGAGAGGTGGGGGACAATGGCATGGTGAAGGGTGAAACTGAACTGTTGGGGTAAACTCAATGTTACGGTCTGTGCACATGTTGATTTTCATTGATGCATGCCTGATCCCTATGTGATGCTATAATATCATGTTACTTTAATACAGTTTTTAAAATGTCTGTTATTACAGATCTAGATGATTTCATAATCACAAAGGGTTCTGGAGGATAATAAGGAGAGACTCAAGGATTGTGAGAATCCACTGTCATCCTAAGAGAGGCAGAAATCTGATAACAGAAGCTTGTCCTTGTATTTCCCTGTTCTCTGGTGTTAAAAAGACTCAGGCCATCATTGTGGGCTGTTTCAGAACTTTGTCAGAGCTGCATTGCTGGACTTTCAGGGTGAACTCAGGAGGACCCGGCCTCGCTCTCTCCTGGAGAAAGCAAAGAGGAGGCAGTGACCATGCTAACTGGCCCAGTCTGCCTCTCTACTTTCTGTACAGGATTGTTGGACAGCATCCAGGGCTTGGCTAGTGGAGTCACTCAAGCAAGTCCCCATTCTCCAACACCCCAACAGAATGAGGGTGTTTGCAGAAATATTTGATTTGCTCCTAGCAGCTCAGTTCAGGGATATAGCAGGGAATCTGGAAACTATTTGGATGCGAATCCACTATGTTCTAAGTCGTGCTTTTCTTTTGAATTTAATTTCCAGACAGGAAATAAGCACAAAAGGAACATAAAGGTGAAGGGCTGTGAGGAAATTGAGTGAAGCTGGGCTGATTCTCTAGTGCCTTTGGCTATTTGGGGTAGCAATTTAACAAGAGACTTTTTCCACATGGCATACCCCAAAACAGCAAACAGCATTTGAACTCCTTCACAATTATTTTTAGGCATTCTTCTTCTGTGATTTTAGTCCATACTTGCTCTTAACAGAGGACCAGCTACACTGGGTAAAGACTATTGTTTTGCTACAACATCTTTGAAAGAAGTTTGTTAATCATCCCAGAAACCAAGTCTGCTTTTGTCCAAAGCAGCTCCCCATTTCACAAATACACTGTGGCTGCTATTCCCTGCTATTCCCAGCCAACACTTCTGACATCTGCAAACAAGATCCTTGGCTCCCATTTGAATCAACAAAAGAAGATAAGTTTATATTCACAGTAGATTTAGTATTTTGCCGAAGCTCAAATTTCTGTTAATTCTATGAAAAACAAATGGATTTGTTTATGGGAGTATTTTACTGAATGGACAGTTCATGTTTCTGGCCTGTTAAGAGATTTTTAAACTACTGATAAGCATTTGGACATATTGTGAGAGACCCAAGGCATTCTGACCAGGTGGGCATAAAGCACATAGTAACAAGGGCCACAAAACTGGAGCGAGTGGGTATTTATATGTTATTTTGGAGTTCATTGAACAAAATTTCTGTGTTGTATGTTATTAGACAAGAGAGGCTTAAAGGATGGGCAAAATGGACTCAGTGAGCATATCTGAGTGGGGGAGCTTTAACTTGTTAAGACAGTGGTGTCCTCTTGGGTAACACAGTATTGGTGACAGTAGTTCAGAGGGGCTCGCTTATCAGCAGCTAGACAGGGAACATTTTGTTCTGGAAAGAAGAAATGAATGGCAAAATTGGTCTGTCTCCATCCGTCCGACCATCCATCCATCTAGTTTTGTACCTAGTAGCATTTATTAGCAAATTTGGTCATTTCATATATATCCAAAAGTTGACCTTTTAAGGTAAACAAAGGAACTCACAACCCACCAGCACATTTTAATCTCATCAACCATTTTTCTCACGTTGGAGGTTGCCGCTGGTGGGTTTTCACTACCAAATTCTTGGCACCTTTTTTTCACCTAGCACCTGTGACTTGAAGGATGTGATACAAATGCTGAACTGCCTTCTGAAAGCCAAGTTAAAATACATCTCAAAACAACAGAAAATCACTGAATGTACCCCCCACTCCCCATGATTGTTGAATGACTTAGTAGATTTTAATAAGATGAGCACGTGCAAATGACTATCCCAGACCTTGACAGGATGATGGTCAATGAGTTGGTATTTTCCCTCATCCTTGGTAGTGCTTTTCAGCTTCCAGCCAAGTGCTCTCGAGTGCAGAGGGTAGAAATTCTACACTAGAACCTGACCATTCTGGAGTTTCGCAGACTCCCATTGAGGAGCTGTGATATGTGCTTGTAGAGTGATTTTTAGTAAGTGAAGTGTGATTAGGGAGAGTAAGAGCCTGCTTGTGGGCTCCCTGGCAAAGGTGAAAGCAGAGGTTTCTGGGCATG